CCTGTTCTTAGCTGACAAGCGTGGCACCCGATGTGCTCATCTGTTTCAAGGTTCAATGGGTTGTGTCTTCAGAGATGCTCTTCTGCATACCTTGATTACAACAAGTGGTTATTTGAGTTACTCTTGCCTTCCTCTCAGCTCAAAGCAGTCTGGCCATTCTCTTCTAACCTCTGCCATTCACTTGATAATTCTTGCTCCATTTCCCAAACACTCAACACGTCATCTAGTATCAACAACCATATCAAATTCAGAGACACTTGAATCATCCTTCTTTCCCATTCTGATGATAAGAATTCTTGAGACAGTCAAATACACCTAGAAAGTATGGGTGAACCATACTAGACTGCCTAATGGTGCATAGTAACTGTTGACTGGGAGTGATCAGATCTGTAAGTGGGGTTTGGAGCTTCATTTTGAGAGAGCTAAAGATAATCAAAAGGCATCAATGGGGAAGGACAGGGCAGTATCGCCATACCAGTTTCTGTTTCTGCAATCAAATGTGACGACACCGTTTTCATCTGGAGTCCATTGGATGCCTGAAAGAAAACAGAGAGAGTGCAGATGATGGTCAGAGGACAAACTCCTGCTTGGACGATTTTTTTGGTTGGACGGATGAACAACTGATGTCAAAATGAATGCTGTGGTGACAAACTGTCAAACAAGGCTGTGATGGGTGATGCAGAGGGTGAGTAAAACAAGCTGTCACATATCTTCTGTTAATTACCCTTGCTCTCTCTCACAAACACACACACACGCACTCAGACAGACATGTACACACACAGAATTTATTAGCAGCCAGACTCTCACCGAGACTGACTCATCATGTTTGACTGTTTCTTGCGCTGTCAGTTGCTGTGTAAGTACAGTACACTGTTTGGCTTATGTAGCTGAATGTTTATCTACAGTGCTGTTCATGTTGTTTTAACACTGTATCATCACAGGAGAAAAGTGCAGCCAAGGGTACCATCAATTAACACACTGTGCTACAATTCTGGGACGCACATTTGCTGGCCCAAGTGTAGGTGACTCAGACGTACCTGGATATAGCCTGAAAAAGCCCGTAGAACTGCCAAAGTACTGCCAGGTGAGAGTTGGATCCGCCTGGAAGTTATCAGCGAAAACATCATTCAGAGCCTCAGACATGTAGACTCCATTGAGAATATCAGGATCTACAAAACAGAGAGAGGTAATATATTCTACTGCCAATCTGGTGTATTATGCAGCATTTGCAATTATATTCAAGGCTTTATGGTTGTGTTACCTCTGTTGTAGACATTTGTGGGAACTTGTATGTTACTTTGCTGTATGCTGACTGGCAGTTTATTAAAATGTTCGTTTTCCTCCAAAGGGAATTCTCCACCCAGTGGGACTGCATTCCCATCCTCATCCACGGTGTTGATCAACATGGAGTTATAATAGTCAAACTACAGAAAAAAGTGACAGTTGGTGGCTGTACATATATACTAACATGAGTAACCAATAAGAACAAACAGTTGGTTATAATTCAGTTATAAGTCTGTGGATATTTTTTTTCAAAAGGGCTGAAAATCAGCTCACAAACTGGATCATTAAAAGACAAATTGAAGCTCGCTCCACTCTTGAGGCTTCACAGTAGCTATCCATCTTTAATGTACAGTTTGTGGTTAGTTAACAAAGAGTCCTGTATTAAAATGCCTGACGTCAGGTCATTTCTCTTTTTGCGGCTACTGTACTGGTGATTAAAACACTGCCAAATCATATTTGGGTTTATGGTCATGCATTATCAGGTGTGCAGAGGTTTTGAGTGACAAGTGTGGGGCCGCTTTGTGTTTGCCGTTTGGTGGCGAGGAGTTGGGCATTGGATTTCTCTGGTAAAATGCTCTTCTGAGCTTGTTTTTTGCTAGCCTAAATTAGCATCCCATTTGTTCTCGCAGTGAAATATAAGGTAGAGAAAAAAACGTTTACATCTTAACCGCTTGGTGTGCGGTTACTGGAGGTTGCTGGCTATCACTGTGAAATCTGTGATACCTTCTTGTGATTGCTTTGGTCACTAGCAGATTGTTGCAGTTACCAATGGTTTGCATGAAAACCCCCAACTTGTCTTCTGACACTCAGCAGCTAAACACAGAGCAGTAGTGAAACTTGGCAAAAAACTGCAACGCAAATGGAAATGAAGAATGTTTGCCTTCAAAGTAAAAGCTTTGCCTTCAGTTGTTTCAAGAGGCAAAACTTTTTAAGGTAATCTGTCTCTGTTTGCAGCTTGGGTCAAAACTTTCACAGCTTAGTCACTGAGCACAACTGCTCAGTGACTAATTGTTGAGTCACTTTCTTCCTTGCAAACTTTGGGCAACTTTAGCAATCTACTGCCCAAAGCAATCAAAAGGAGGGTTTTAGTGTAGTTCCCTATACCTCTTTGAAAACAATTTCACTTAGCCAACCATTGGACAATGAATTGGAGAATATATATTTTTGCTAGAGTCTTGCCAGGGACTCACCAGCCAGTATGGATGCCAGGGTAACTAAGGTAGCTACTCAGCCAGGATTAGCATTAGCTCACAAGTTGCTCACACTGCCCTTTTATCCAAATCACATATTCAATTCATTTTTAAAAAAAAACTAACAAACAACAAAAATGGCAAAATTTGAGTTACAAAGCAATAGGTCTCATGGCGAGGACATACATTTTTACATACAGTGTCTGAGCTTTCTACTAGCAATGGGACTCTTATTGTGTATAAGCTGACAAATGAAAAATTTATAAGCAGATATGTCACCCTTACCTCGAGTGTTTCATTGTACTCATGGTCCAGATCTGCATCCTCTGCTGCTTCTGCTAATCTCTGTGATAAAAGGCAAAGCATTACAGATTTTCTTTTTCTTTTTTAAGTAGCAAAGTGCAGCATTACACAAACCCACACTAGTTTACCATGTATCAGTGTTTGATTTGATGATTGCCCATTTGATTGACATTAGTTGTTTTTTTTTTACTCTGCATGCATAATTATTACCTTAACAGCTTTCATCTTCCTCCCAAGCATCTCTTCCATTTCTTCCGCAAACCTTTTCACCAGTTCGTCTCCATTCACCTCCTCTATCTTCACTGTACCTTCAATATCCTTGTATTTCTTTAAAACACACACACAATTCAATTTAAAAAGAAAGACTTGTTTAAAAAAATGTAAAACACTGTGCCAGCCTTTGCAAGACTGTTTTAAGACAACAAAACACAATTATAAACGATTTCTACATTTTCAACAACACACGAAACCAAACAGTCCCCTCTGAAAACAGAGATCAACTGTACAGGCAACAATCCTGATACACAAACCTTCACACCAGGCATTTACAGGTGTCCTGACTTCATCCTCTCCCTCCACCCCTCACTATTTTGTACAAAGTGATGGTAATGTTTTAAAAGATTAATAATTTATAATTAATAATAAAAGATTTATAATTCAGATGTATAATAGGCAGACATAAAAACGAGTCTTAATCCTGACATGTTATTATAGCAGTGGCATTCAAAATGATCACCAAAAAACAGAATACATTTTTAAACATATTTATGTTTTCTTTTTTTTCTAGTCCAACAACCAGTCGGCCAAATAATACTCATAGTATTTGTTCACAGTAGAATCACAGCAGCTGGATAAATGCAATTTAAGGGATCCCATACTGTTACTGCATGAGGACTGAAAGGTTAACTTCCTGCACTAAAAATAATGTAATGACATTTACCCATCTTGTTTGTTTTGTATTTTTCTGTTGCCTTTATAAAGATGATTACCATTAATTACAATATATTACAATTATTATCAAATTTGCTCAGGGAATAGATTCGATAAGCCATGTGTCCCATGCAACAGTGCAACATCCATCTAATAACTAAGATAAGTTAGATACTCATATAGATAAATAACAGATGTAAAATGAGAAAAACTCACAATATACGGATCTTTTGCAGGTTTGTTTGGGGGGGAAAGCCCTCTTTGTAGCTCCAACATGTTTATGACTGTCAAACAGAACCCCAAACACTCAATATCCTACCCAGTTTACTCAGGCAAGAAGACAGAATCACTAAGTGTTCCACTTATAACAAGAAGCCTATTGATTAGGCAGAGGTGGATGATTTATGGCTCCTTGGTGCAAGGATACGACTAAAGCGCTGGCTGTTATTACACACCACTGGCTGAATAAAAATACATTTTGCAGATAGGAAAGATACAGCAAATTAATAGGGCTGTTATGGATACAGTTACTACAGCAAGTGTTGCTCGTGTGATAACTGAAGCACTTACAAGCACCACAATGCTTTCTGTTTTTGATCAGGTTGATATCTTACAAGCTGTGAGGTTGGACAGTGTAGAAAACTGTTTATAACAGCTAAATCAGTAAGGATTGGTTATTTGTACAGCTTGTTTGGTTAACGTTGTTAACACACATTTTGTGAGCCTGCATAGCAGATGGTGAATGGACCTGCTAGCGATATTACAGGGTGGCATGCAGTGCAAGCTCACACGTGCTAATTACTAAAAGGCATTGGAATTGTATTTGAATTAAATGTGTCATCAGATTGTTCTCTAGGCCATGCGCAGATGTTGTACAGCAAATGTATGTCAGTCTGCCGTGTTCTTATTGGCTGATGTAATGCACAGAAGGGGGAGAAATGATGAATTCCCACTCTGAGCCTTTCAGTTTTGCAGCATAATATTGTATTTTTTGTAAGATTTCTTTGTCCATTCCCAGCTTCCAGTTCCAACTTTAGTTTTAAATATTTGTGTAGCTGGTAATACAATAAGAGGTGCAGGTAGAGGGAGAGCTCAGCCCCAAATAACCTTCCCTGTATGTTCCTCTCTGTATACTTTTGCGTGACTAATCATCAATAAAGGCATGTTAACCATACCATACCATAACCATCATTAAATATAGCCTAAAAATAATCATTTGCCTGTCTGAAATGGGAAATTAGTGAAGCATACTATGTCTTGTAACATGTACTTGGGCATGATGTCTTGAGCTAGTATGTACTGTATGAGTAATAATTTGTTGATATCTGACAACATCTATTTATAAATGTATATTATATTAAATGGACAGTTCACCCCCAATAAAATCAAGTTCTGCTTGTTTTGATGTGAATAGCCCCATTTTGGTGAGCCTGTTGTAGAGATTTCTGTCCTATTTTGAATATAATGGAATCAAATGGCATTTCACTTGGCATGCTCAAAAGGGCAAGAAAATACATAACACTCAGCAGGAATGTTCCATCCATCCATCCATCTTCTTCCGCTTATCCGGGGCCAGGTCGTGGGGGCAGCAGCCCAAGCAGAGAAGCCCAGACCTCCCCTCCCCAGCCACCTAATCCACCTTGTCCGGGGAAACACCAAGGCGTTCCCAGGCCAGCCGAGAGATATAATCTCTCCAGCGTGTCCTGGGTCTGCCCCAGGGCCTCCTCCCGATGGGACATGCCCAGAAAATCTCACCCAGGAGGCATCCTTGTCAGATGCCCGAACCACCTCAACTGACTCCTTTCAATGTGAAGGACCAGTGGCTCTACTCTGAGCCCCTCCCGGATGGCCGAACTTCTGACTCTATCTCTAAGGGAGAGGTCAGCCACCCTTCGGAGGAAGCCCATTTCTGCCACTTGTATCCGCAATCTCATTCTTTCGGTCACTCCCCACAGCTCGTGACCATAGGTGAGGGTAGGGACATAGATCGACAGGTAAATTGAGAGCTTCGCTTTTATACTCAGCTCTCTCTTTAGCCGCAGCACCAATCCGTCTGTCGATCTCCCGCTCCCTTCTCCCATCACTCGTAAACAAGACCCTGAGATACTTAAACTCATCCACTTGGAGCAAGAACTCGTCCCTGACCCAGAGTGGGCACTCCAACTTTTTCCGGCTGAGGAGCATGGCCTTATATTTGGAGGTGCTGATTCTCATTCTGACCGATTCACACTCGGCCGCGAAACCGTTCCAAAGTCAGCTGGAAGCCATCACCCAATGAATCCGACAGAACCACACCATCCAAAAACAGAGATGAGATTCTGAGACCACCCAAGTGAAAGACTTCTGCCACTTGGCTTGGAATGTTCCCTTCCAGAAATTCCGAACCAGTCAGCCGACTAATGTAATTCTCTCCTTTTTGCTCTGTTTCTGGTCTCCACCAACTCCAAATGGGAATTTCTGTCTATTTCAATAACTTGCTTGTTTTCTGCTTGCCATGTGGTCCTGGTAATTTGACTTACTGTGCAGTTTTAGACCTGGTTACTGAAAAAAAGATAATCCAAAAACCTTGCAAGGAGCAATTTCATATATAAGCTGCTTTTTCCCCCTATTGAACTCCTTACATGAGCTGTGTTATCATACTGACGAATGCAATGTAAATATTAATGGCTCACCCACCTGGCTGATAGTTAATAAAAATGTAACTTCATAGATGAACTGTCTCTTACCTTCTGCAGAAGTTTAGCTCCAGAGTACCTGGCGGACAAAGCAGTTATCTCTTTGCCAAATGACACGGCCCACTGCTGCACCCTGAACAGACAAAATACATTATCAATGGAAGGTAGATACCCTTATATAGGTAAAGACACAGCTACTAGCTCAAATTAATAAACCCATTATAAAACACTGGAAATGACCAGAAATGTACACAGCAAAACATTTAAGCACTTACTGCACACTCACTACTGACAGAGTGAAGCAGATTATTTCAAGGTGATACTTAAAATAGACATTGTACCGGGTCAAGAGGTTATTCTGTGCTCACTAACATGCAGCAATTCTACAAATCCTCAGTGTGAATGCCAATGAGGTAAGGTAATAGAGTTTAGAGAGCAGACAGGATGTGACAGATGGCTTAACCTATGGGGAGTCAGTCAGCTCGCTGCTAGTTTGCAGGCAGTCTTGCCAGCATCGGTACTGAAAACTGGCTTATCATTTGTTGACTTGTTGATATTGTCATAGCAAAATTTGAGTGTGTTCATTTTAAAATGTGAGGGCCAACAGTGTGCAAGCCGTCTACTGTACTGTCAATATTCTTCTTCAAGAGATTTTGTTTAGTATTACCATTCTGGTTAATCATAATCTAGCCGATCCCTGTTCCTGTTTCAAGGCAGCATCAAGAACATCAAGTGTCATAAAACAATATTATGATATTATTGAAGCAGGAGATTATCTCCTCTGACACTGGGTTAGGAAATTTGTGCATTTTTAATGATTTATTTTAAAATTAAACTTATTAAAATGGCTATACTATAATTTTCGAACCAGTATCTGTACCAGTCAGATCAAGAACAGGCCTTTGACACACCAACCAGGCTGCAGAAACAACTTCAATGAACAGTGAAAGTATTTTACTTACTTCATTTTTCAATAGATAAACTTGATTTTATCCCCAAAGAAGAAAAAGATCTATGTGTACACTTATACTGTTTATTCCAGAGCAAAGACGTGTTTTTAGTAACAGCTCACAGAAAGGTGCAATGTTTCCAACTGGCATTAGGGTTGCATAGCCTTAGAGGATAAAGATCTGACCTTCTTGGCCTGGAATGTTCCGGTCGCGACACTGTTAACTTTCACAGCCATAAGGGACCTGCTGCCATTTCTTCCCTAGGCAGAGTGCGGCATTTGGGGCTTAGTGACCTATGTTGGACAGTTGAACTCTGGTGTCCCCAGAGCTTCATCTGCCGTCACCAGCCTGACTGCTGACAACACATACAATAAACTCTTTAAGCTGTATAACTACAAATCTAATACACTGCACTGAATACAACTATAATCTGCACAGGCAGACATTGCTTTATGGTTTTGGTCGATAGATGTAAGTATGTAAAGCCTGTCATGCAAACATTAACAACATCCATGCTAACAAAGTGCTGTGCTTCTCAGTCTCTCTCAACCCATTCAATTTTTTATCACTTTTACATATACAGTCACACACACATGCGCACAAATTCTTCTGCTAACACACAGCTCACACACTCACACGCAAACAAGGCTACTGCAGACTGACAGGACTGTATCGATCTGTTCTTGTCTTTCGTCAGCAAGGCGGTTGAAAACCGTTAAGGCGAAAGAGCTTCGTCTTGCCTTTGGAGAATAAACAAACACAGCATTTTGTCCCAAAAAGAAATATCCACCTAAGATAAACTGATCGGTAATCGTACACAGTCTTACAAAGTCAACACTCTGTGAAAGCAAAACACATTACGCAATATAAACCGGTCCCTCTCATGGGAAGGCAATCATTGTACATGTTTGAAAAGCAGTTTTACAGTAGAAGTAACAAGCCTTGTGATATGTACATTTGATTAAATGCAAACATAGCAGGACTCCATCAATCTGTATAAGCAGAGCATTGGTGTTTGCCAGCATGGCTCTAGGTGACTGCTGTGTGTTGACAGCGCTAACCACTTGATCACCATGCTGCCTTTTCCTACACAAAATCTTTTCTAACAAAAAAATTGTAATTTTTATTTTTTTAAAAATGAATGTCTCTTTATCTCTAGTCAGACTTATATGTCAGATTATTTGAATGTGGCTGTAGAGAGGAGAACAGTTTGGCAGTTCGCTGTACCCCACAGGTGTCCAGATGGTCCATATGTATGTAGAATAATCAGCCAACCTAGAAGGAACACTATTGACTCATCCATCTGACATATGGCTTAAAGAAGGATCATACTGCACGTAGAGCTGCCAGGGTGTGCACACAGAAATTACCTGATTTAAAAAAAGGCTGTGTGTCTATATTTGCCACTGAATGGCAGCATACTGGGTGCCACTGTGATTGAGGATATAGCCATGATATGGGTATGTAAACAAAAACAAATGCAAAAATTAAATTAATTTCAGAATAAATGCAGCTTTATACAAACACCAGACACCAGTCAACTGTCTATTTTTCTAGCGCAGTTTTACTTACGTTTCTGGTGAGATCTTCATTTGACCATCAGTCATGAGGCACAGTGAACTGGAGAGGATAATCCACATCAGCATCATCAGCCTCCCGCTGTATGGCCCACTTCTGTCTAATTTAATGGCATTCCTAGCTTTTCCCAGACTCCAGCAGTTCATCCCTGCAGCTGCCGTACGCTGGAGAGAAATTGAGGAAGTCTGAACAGTGAAAAAGCATGAATTTAGAAATGCTCAGGTCAAAGAGCAAACCCACAGAGAGAGAAACCTGAAGTCTTGGCACAGATCTACACATACAGGGTGAAACACAATGCACCTTCTCTAACCGACATCTACTTCATTAACTGTGAAAAAAGGGTGAGCATTAGCATTAACCTCCTCGCTTCTTTGGAATATTTAAAAGTAACAGAATTAGCCCAGCCAGGTTCTGCAGCACCACTTACAGGCTGTCTTAGCTAGTTTATGGCAGTAATAACATCTTTATATGAACATTTATCATTTATACCTAGATCACTCTCTGTCAAGTTAGGTTGTTGACACTTTTGTGCATGCTAATTGAACTATATTCCAGTCATGTATGTTGAAGTTGCACGAAAGCACAGAGTATTATTGCTTCTGTAAAGTCTTGTAGCTATAATACAAAAAATTACAACTACCACATGCACATCACTGAACTGTTATCACCTTGAAAAAACAATAAAACTAATGTACCTCTTGATCAAGAATGGTTCAATTATTTTTCTCAAGTGGCCACATGAGAAACTGGGACTGTTTTAGGAGACCGGACTAATTCTGTACTCAGAAGGTGTGTTCGATTTGGCAAACTGGTTGTTGAAGACCCAAATCCCAAAGGGGATTTGGGTCTTCCTTTGGGGGTTCACCTGAAAGGGCTCAGTATTCATTTTTCATTATAATCTTACTGGAGCAGCCCTCCACAATAGTCACAATTCCTCATGTGGCCCTTTGGGAAAATTATTTGCTCACCGCTGCTCTTGAGTCATGCTTCTGGTAAAGTAATCTCTTTAATTCTCTCTTTTAGCACTATTTTGGTATCTACCAACTCTGGAGGGATGTTTACCTTGTTGCTAGCTAGCTAGGCCTGAGCAGATGCAGACAGTTGATTTTAAGAGCTTGTTTAGAACTTATTACTAAAATGTACAGACTATTTTCTTTGCACCAAATTACCCCTCTGCACCATGTCACGATGCAGAAAGAAGCCACATGTTCCTGACAGCACATGGACAGCATGACATGATGTAAATATTAACTGTGCACCAGTCAGTTGACCTTCACTGTTAGCCAACTGCTAGTGTTTAAGGTTTTCTGATGCATTTATGTAGAAAGAAAATAGTTCCAATTTGAAAATGCTAACAAAAAAACATTTTGGGTTGTATTGAGTTTGATGTGTGATGAATGATGAGTTTTCCAGATGCATTTAATGGCACTTCAAGTGCTATAAGGTGAGTGGCACCAAGTTCTGTTATACCCAGTCTCTATCTACAAAACAATTGCATGTATATGATTTTTGGGATGAACTACCCCATTTAGTCAAAAGCTGCATTTAAACTTTATTAAACTGAAGTATAGTGCAGTAAGTTATGGCAGAATTTTGGTCACAGACACATATGTATTACTGTTTTCATTATAAAATATTGATCATAATTGGTCATCACTTTGTAGCACAACACCAACTCATCTTAAAGACCAAAACAAAGAACTTGCTTTCAAGATCTTTTTGACTACTTGCCTGATAGATTATTTGTTCAGAAAAAATCTCAAGGTCCAGTGTACAGCCTTCTGAAGGACAGTCATGTATAGTCCAAATCTTAAGCCCATCAAGACGGGAAAAAAGAGGCTGGCTTTGTCACCAAGCAGGCTAAAATATGTAAAGATCCATAGTAACATTTAGAGAATCTGTGAAAGTCCAAACCGAAAGGATAGCAAAAAATAGAAAAGCATGGGCGTGTGACTATAGGTTAAATATGCCATCTTAAAAACATTTAGAGTTAACACTGGCTTTGGGCTCATGTGGAAACAACGTGAAACCTTCTTTCCAAGTGAAAACAAAGATGCCATCTGATGCCCAATTTAAAAGCTGGAATATTAATACACAAAATTAAGAAAATAGTTCAGTAAACCCATATTTTCAGAGCTCACAAAAGAACCAAAAAGTATGTAGGTCAAGGAAGAAAGTTGAAACATAGCAAGTGTGAATGATGATGATTCGATGTCAGCTGAGCTGGATGTCCCGGCATACAAAAGAAACTAGAAAGCTTTTGTCTCCAGTGTCAAAGGTCACTTCTGTGCACATGGGATCACAATAGAGCATCTCCATTTTTCTACGCCTCCCTCTCCAAGGCTCTTAATCTGATTTCTGTCCCCCCCATTATTGACGTCTGTTTTTCTTGCTTGTTTTCTCGGATCAGCACAATCCCACAAAAATAGGAGAAAACTTCAGTCTTCACACGACTTCCATTATCGGGCAGTGTGATTTTATTTCTTCCAGGTAAGGCACATGCACAGGTTCCAAAAACAAATCCAACCCCGCTGCAACTTCCAATTATTCTGCCGACCCTTGTGCTGACCTCACGTCTTCACAGGTCCAAAATCCAAAACAAAAAGCACGGGGAGACGACTACGCTGCTGGATGGAAGGTAAGACAGATGGACTAATGGATGCACGGATGGATAGTGGGACTTCCTCTCTCTCCAGAATCTCTCTTCCTCCTCTCCAGCACCAGTTTATACCATAATCCATGCAGGATTAAACCCCTCCTCCCTCATTCCCTCCTTTTCCCACTCCATGCCTCTTGCTCTCTCTCTCTCCATACAAGCACGCTAACACAATCTTTCTCTCTCTCTGGCCCTCATCTTCTCTGTATCACTCTTTGACCCACTGTCTTTCTACTCTTTCTTTTCTTTCTAGTTGCTTTTCTCTGTTTTTTTCTCTTAATCTTTCTTGTCAGGCTCTCACCTGCTGTTTTGTCTTTACAATGCTTTCTCTTAATCTTCCTCTGTATTATTATTATTTTTAACCAAAAATGACAGTGGATTGAGGCTGTAATAAGAATTCAACAAAGTAAGGGGGACACAAGAACGGGATGTTGAGAGGAAGAGGAGGGGAAAGAACACGTTTAACTGACACAATCATAATACAAACACATTGAGACACCTAGTGGACTTTCATTGTCTCACATATACACGTGCACACATGCACTCACAATATTGCAGAATTAATCCATCAGCTCTGTCCATGTCCATATAGCACATTTTTCAAGTATGCTCTCATAGTTCTTTTTTCCCTGTTAGAGACACTTTCATTCACATATTCATCCTATAATCCATTTAAAAATCGTAGTATTATTTTAAATCACTTACTTTTACACCACTGCAAAAACCTGGAACCTGTACCTCATATGAACGTTGTTTTTTTTCTTTTTTTGATTTTCAGGGTGATTTTTTAAAAACCTACTACAGTAGGTGTTTAAAAATCTTACTTGTGTGAGCTTTTCTAGGTTTAATAAGTAAGTACTGGGCCCCACTGATGAGATTTCAGACCCCAGAAAACAGCCCAGTAAGTCAGAGTCAGGAGAGGCTTTCCTGGTGCAAACTACATTGTCAGCCACCCTTAAATGGCCTGTTAGTTGCTGCAGTTTAAAAAGGTCTATTGTCGGCACACACTACTGCCTCAGTAAAAATTTGGCCACATTACCCATATTTATAAACAAGCCTATGGAGTATGATCTATAAAACTGATAACAATTTGTTTCAGTTTGCCATCACATGTTTTATGTATAGAGTATCCAATGCTATTACCTATAATAAAAAAAAAATTGGTAGTCTACCAACCACTTATCTTTGTGTTTGGACACTCTTGTAAGAGGGACATTAATTTAAAGAAAGACAACAGGAGAACAACATGCATACCAACAACATGCCAGCTACAGACTACACTTAACTGTTCTTTAATGCAAATATCTAATAAGTCAATCACATGGCAGCAACTCAGTGAATTTAGGCATGTAGACATGGTCAAGATGGT